GTTGTACTAATTTGCATTCCCATCAACAGTGAATAAGGGTTCCTGTTTCACTACATCTTTGCCAGCATTTTGTTGTTGTTATTACCCTTGATTATGGCCATTCTAACTGGGGTGAGATGAAATCTAAGTGTTTTGATTTGCATCTCTTTTATAACCAGGGAAGTTGAACATTTCTTCATGTATTTATTGGCCATTTGTACCTCTTTCTTTGGGAATTCCCTGTTTAATTCATGTGCCCATTTCTTCATTGGGGTGTTGATTCTTTAGAGGCTGAGTTTTTCGAGTTCCCTGTAGATTCTGGATATTAGTCCCTTATCAGATAAGTAGCTGGCAAAGATTTTCTCCCATTCTGTGGGCTGTCTCTTGAGTCTGGTGACTGTTTTCTTGTGCTGTGTAGAAGCTCTTTAGTTTGATATAGTCCCGTTTGTTCATTGTTTCTCTTAGATGCTGAGCCTTTTGAGTGCTGTTTAGGAAGTCATTCCCTATATCTATCTGTTCCAGTGTATTTCCTACTGCTTCTTGGAGTTGTTCCAAAGTTTCAGGCCTTATATTAAGATCTTTGATTCACTTTGAGTTGATTTTGGTACAGGGTGAAAGACAGTGATCTAGTTTCAGACTTCTACATGTGGACATCAAGTTTTCCCAGCAGCATTTTTTGAAGAGGCTGTCTTTTCTCCATCATGTATTTTGGACTCCTTTGTCAAAGATCAGTTGGCTATAGTTGTGTGGGTTTATGTCTGGATCTTCTATTCTGATCTATTGGTCTTCCTGTCTGTGTTTGTGCCAATACTATGCAGTTTTTATTGTTATGGCTCTGTAGTATAGTTTGAAGTTGGGTATTGTGATGCCTCCGACATTGGACTTTTTGCTCAGAATTGCTTTGGCTATTCGAGGTCTTTTGTGTTTCCATATATATTTCACAATTTTTTTCTATTTCTGTGCAGAATGTCATTGGAATTTTGATAGGGACTGCATTGAACATGTAGATTGCTGTTGGTAGTGTGGCCATTTTCACAATGTTGATTCTACCTATCCACAAGCATGGAAGGTCTTTCCATCTTCTGATGTCTTCTTCAATTTCTCTCTTCAGTGGTTTCTAGTTTTCATTAAAAAAGGTCTTTGGTTTTCTTTCATTAAATTTATTCCAAGGTACTTTATTGTTTTTAAGGCTATTGTAAATGGGATTATTTCCCTGATTTCTTTCTCAGTCTGGGCGTTGTTGGTACGTAGAAAAGCTACTGATTTCTGTATGTTAATTGTGTATCCTGCTACTTTGCCAAAAGAGTTTATAATTTCTACTAGTTTTTTTCTTCCCTATTTGAATACCTTTTATTTCTTGCTTTTATCTTATTGCTCTGGCCAGAAATTCCAAAACTATATTGAATAGACAGACTTCAGGGCTCTGTCTCATTCCTGACTTTAAGGGGAACGTTTTCAGTTGTTCTCCATTTAGTATGATGTTGGCTCTAGGTTTGTCATATATAGCCTTTATTATGTTAAAGAACATTCCTTCTACTTCTAGTTTCTTCAGAGCTTTTATCATGAAAGGATGTGGATTTTGTCAAAGGCTTTTTGTGCATCTATTGAGAGGATCATGTGGTTTTTGTCCTTGCTTCTGTTTATATGCTGTATTGTGTTTATGGATTTATGTATGTTGAACCATCCTTGCATCCCTGCAATGAAACCTATTTGGTCATGGTGTATGATCTTTATGACATGTTGAATTCTGTTTGCCAGTATTTTGATGAGAATCTTTGCATCTATATTCATTAAAGTTATTGGTCTATAATTCTCTTTTCTGGTTACATCTTTATTGGGTTTCGGAATGAGTGTAATGCTGGCTTTATAGAATGAGTTTGGTACTGTTCCTTCCCTTTCTACTCCTGGAAAAGTTTGAGGAGTATTGGTGTTAATTTCTCTTTAAAGGTTTGGTAAAATTTTGCTGTAAATCCATCAGTTCCTGGGCTCTTCTTTGTAGGGATCTTTATTATTGCTTCAATTTCATTGCATGTAATAGGACTATTTAAGTGGTTAATATCTTTTTGGTTCAATTTTGGTTGGTTACATGCATCTAAAAATTTATCCATTTCCTCTAGATTTTCCAGTTTACTTGAATATAAGTTTTCAAAGTACTCTCTAATGATTCTCTGAATTTCTTTAGTATTTGTGGTTAAATCCCCATTTTCATTTCTGATTTTATTACTTTGGGTCTTCTCCCTCTTCCGTTTTGTCATGTTGGCTAAGGTTTTGTTGATCTGGTTAATATTTTCAATAAGGGAGGGGGTGGGGGCAGGGGGGAAGAAATGACCCAAGCATTGTATGCACATATGAATAATAAAAAGTATATATATATTTTCAAAGAACCAGCTTTTTGTTTCATTGATTCTTTGTATAGTTTGTTTGGTTTCAATTTCATTAATCTCAGCCCTGATCTTTCTCTCCATCTGCTGGTTTTGGGTTTGGCTTGTTCTTGCTTTTCTAGGAGCTTAAGGTGCATCATTAGATTGTTTATTTGCGAAGTCTCTTTTTTTTAATGTAGGCACTTACAGGTATAAACTTTCCCATTAACATGGCCATTGCTGTGTCCCACAGATTCTGCTAGGTTGTATTTTCATTTTCATTGGATTCTAAACTCAAGAAAGAATGATGTCCACCCCTCCACTTCCAGGCAGAATCTGTTCCACCCTCTCATTCTCTGATTTTGTTGAAGAGAAAACATAAGAGATAAGAAAAACAGTGTTTTTATTTGAGATAAAGATAGCTATATAGAGAGATTCCTAGCATTGGTTCCATGCACATGTGTATTGCAACCCACATTGGGTCATCCCTACCAGATCTCTTCACTACTTCTTGGTCCCCTTCCCACAGTGGCCTCTGCCAGTTTAATATTACTATATTCACTCTTCCACAGTGAGCACATCGACCACATCCAAGTTTTAGGTTTCCTTCCCTTTTGGGGTCTTGCTTTTTAACCCAGTTTGATATTCTATGTCTTTTGATTGGGGCATTGAGGCCATGTACATTTAGTGTTAATATTGAGAGGTGCCTGTTGTTTCCAGTCATTTTTGTTCCCCTGTTGTTTAGTTTTAGCTATTCCTTGTTTACTGGTCTGCTTGCTCAAAAGAGTTTATTCTTTTTTGAGTCTTCCTCTCTCACTCTAGTTTCTTCTTCTACATGTAAAAGTCCTTTAAGTATCTTTGTACTGCTGGCTTGGTGGTCACAAATTCCTTTTAGTTTTTTCTTATTGTGAAAGGTTTTAAGTTCTCCTTCAAATAGGAAGGATAGTTTTGCTGGATAGACTAGTCTACGTTGACAGTTGCTTTCTTTCAGGGCTGAATTATGTCTTTCCATGACCTTCTTATGTTTAGAGCCTGAGTTGAGAAATCTGTTGTTTTTCTAATGGGTTTGCCTTTATATGTGATTTGTCTTTTCTCTTTTGCAGCTTTCAGAATTCTTTTTTTGTTCTGTGTGTTAAGTGTTTTGATTATGATGTGTCTGGGGGTGTTTCTTTCTTGGTCTTGGTGGTTTGGTGTTCTATAAGCTTCCTACATCTGGGTGACTTTCTCTTTCTTGAGGTTAGGGAAGTTTTTTGCTATTATTCTATTAAATAGGTTGTCAATGCCTCTAGTTTGCATCTCTTCTCCTTCTTCTATACCCATGATTTGTAGGTTTGGTCTTTTCATGGTGTCCCAGATATCTCTCATGTTCCATGTATATTTTCTTAGCATTCTTTCATGATGCTTTACTGTTTGGTTTAATTCCTCTACTTTGTCTCCATTCCTGATACTTTATTTTCAACTTGTTTCACTCTGTTCACCAAGCTTTCAATTGTGATATTTACTTGGGATATTGAGCTGTTTACTTCAGATTGATTATTTTTCAGAGTTTCCATATTTTTATTGATTTCCTCTTTCATATTTTGGATAGTCTTCTTAATTTCAATCATCTGTTTGTTTGTATTCTCTTTGAGCTAATTTAATTGCTTATCTTGCACTCTTTGAGGTCAAATATTAACTTTTGTGTTTCTTCTTTGAGGATATTAATCATTTTTACTATTTTTTTGGAATTCTTTATTTGATAGCTCTTCCTCTATGCAGGTGTTTGGATCCTTAGTGGTGGAATTGGCTTTTGATAGAGAGTGGTTGTCTTGCTATTTCATTCAGCATTGAGATTTCTCCATTTGGAGTTTATTTTGGTTAAGGTTTTAATCCCTTGTGCCCCTGAAGTTGGAATTTTGAGGTTTTTTTTTTTCTCCTGGAGCGCCAACAGTGTTCGTCAGAGAGGGTTCATGCTGGATATGTTACCCCTTGCAGGGTTCTTGTTGTGGTGTCAATTACCTCTTTTTTCTCCTCAGGGGGCTGGAGTTCCTGCTCTTTGATGGGGGTGCAGAGGCTCTTCTGCAGTCATAGGAGTCTCTTCACTGTGGGGGGCAGGCCTCCTAGCACCAGCAGGGTAGTGGATTACCACTCAGTGGAGGAGCTAGGATTCCAGCCCTTGGACAGGAGAGACAGGACTCTCCTGCAGGGAGGTGCAGTGTGAAGCACTGGGCTTCTGTGTACTTGGGGAAACAGGGCTTCTGATGCTGCCTGCAGACTAGCAGGTTATAGTTTTCCTCCCCTTAGTGGGGAATCTGGCATTCTTGTTCTTTGATAGGGGTGTGAGGGCTCTCTAGCTGTCAGGGACAGTGGGGAGTACTAGGCTCCCATGCTTTATAGGGAGAGAAGCTTTTTGGCACCAGCAGAATAGCAAAGCCTGGAGTCTGGGGTTCACTTGGGTGTGTGGTGGCAGGCTCCTGGCACTGAGTATCAAGTTGAGGGTACCCATGGGGCAGCAAAGCCTGTGGGTTTGAATCATCTGGTGCCCACAAGACAACAGAAGCCCTGGGGTCTACTTGCATTGGAGCATGGGCTTTCAGAAACCATAGCAGCTGCTGCCAGGCACAGGGGACCCAAGTCTGCAGGCAGCAAGAGCCTGAGGCTTGCTTGCTGGCACTGGGCTACCTGGACCCATGGCAACTGCTGCAGGAGCAGGGGACCCAAGCCTTCAGGCAGCAGGAGTTCTGGGCCTGCTTTCCAGGCACAGGCTCCAGGAAGGTAGTGCAGTAGTGTTGTAAGCATGGGAGAATCAAGCCTGTGGGCAACAGGAGTTCAGGGGCCTAATTTCCTACATGGGGTTCAAGGAGTGCAATTCAGTGGTGCTGCTGCCAGGGGAACCAAGCCTGCTGGCTTGTGCCTTCTGTTACTGTGGAGCAGTGGGAGCCATGGGTCCTGCTTACACAGGGGCACCAGTTTCCCTGGCATTTTAGGGTGAAGGTAGCAGGTCGTGTATTAGAGGGGAGCATGGAACTCTGAGTTCTTGTGTGTGCTGGACAGCAGGACTTACCGCCAAGTAATGGAGCCTGGAGCTGCATGGAGATGTCAGGGGTGGGAGACTGGGGGTGTTGAGCTGCTAGTCATTCTTCCTTTTCTTCCTGTGATTAGTTGCTTCTCTATTTGTGGGTTTGGAGAGGGCTTTGCTCCTTGCTGGTTATGGTTCAGAAGAAATGGAAGATTATGTGAACTTAGGCGAGTTTGATTAGAGAAAATGAAGAAACAAAATTTTGCACAATTATGTATTGCATTAATATGATGACTATCATCACAATAACAAGAAAGAGAACATAGAAAATCAATTCTCATATGTTTAGAGATGTGATAAATTACACATGTTAGCTAATTGCCAAATGGCCATGAGT